ATGCCGCGGATAGGTAAATATTTGCAGATCATTATGCAAACGATCAATTGTTTACTTGTGGTTTATCTAGATAAAGATATGCAGATCAATATAATACTGCATACATTATATATATTTTGTGTTTACGATATTACTGCATGAAATCTAGAATGCAAACGAGACAAATTCACTTGCTTATCCTAATAGTTGAACCGGTTACCATTTTGTTTAGAAGTAGTTACATTCAATCTTACATTTATCTTCCAAAATAATTGATAAGATTCTCCAAACACATTTTAGAATGCGATCAATAAATTGTCTCATTGGACATTAAACCACCAGAAACGCGGCGAATAAAATGCGTTCTTTTCAGGCACCGGCGTGGCTGCGGATAACTCGACTCGACCAAGTATCGAAGCCAGCGGCACGTCTTCGAACTCCGGTGAAAGAAATGACGTCACAAAGAGCATTTACACGAACACATTCGGCACCACGAAAGCCGCAAATAGCATTCACAATAACACATACAACACTACAACTACCATAAACAACATACACAGTAGCACAAATAACCCAACGAATACCGGTATTAGCAGTTCGAATTTCGATACTACAGTTACGAGTGCAGTTAGTGGAGGTGCTGAGCCTGTTGACAATCCCGTCACTGTGACTGTTAACAGAGATGTTCCCACCACAGCATCCGTTGATATTACTAATCCTGGCATCGTTAGACATGAGGTTTTGGAAGTTGACGCAGTATCAGACGAACATGTGGAAGCGACATCAGATATTCTGGACGAGACGACAACAATGGCTGATATCACGCCAGTTAGTGCCTCGGTTGCTGACCTTGCTGATGTTGACGCCGAACCTACTGACACAGCGTTGGGTGATGTGGATTCAACGGAAGGCGACACAGCTACTGATGTTGCAATTGTTGACTCGACTGGCGCCGTGAAAGATGTTGGGATAACAGGAAGTGACGCGACTGATAGCACGACAGAAGCTGACACGACTGTTAGCATGGCGAGAGGTGACATGACTGACACAACAAATGCCGATGCAACAGAAGTCGATACTGATATAAATGCACCAAAAGTCGATGCCAATTCATATGAAACAGAAACTGAAACTGACGCTACACACACTGATGCTCCTGCCGGCAGAACAGAAGCTGACACTATCGTTAATGGAACAGCAATTGACACGGCAGTTGAAAATGAAGTTGGCCCAACTACTGATGCAACAGAAGATTACATTCCAACAGAATTTGGCCTTATTACTGAAGCAGCAGAGGTTGGCTCTTCATTTGAGACAGCAGATGCTGACACTGCTATTGTAACAACAGAAGCTGACACTGCTACTGATACAACAGAAGTCACTCCAGTTGACACAAGAATAGACTCAACAGAAGTCACTCTTGTTGACACAACAATAGATACAACAGAAGTCACTCCTGTTGACACAAGAATAGATTCAACAGAAGTCACTTCAGTTGACACAAGAATAGATACAACAGAAGCCACTCCATTTGACACAACAATAGATACAACAGAAGTCACTTCAGTTGACACAACAATAGATACAACGATAGCAGAAGTCACACAACAGAAGTCACTCCAGTTGACAAGAATAGATTCAACAGAAGTCACTCCTGTTGACACAACTACAACAGAGTCACTCCTGTTGACAATAGATACAACAGAAGTCACTCCAGTTGACAAGAATGGATTCAACAGAAGTCAGTTCAGAATAGATCCTCCAGTTGACACAACAAGAATAGATTCAACAGAAGTCACTCCAGTTGACACAAGAATAGATTCAACAGAAGTCACTCCTGTTGACACAACAAGATAGATACAACAGAAGTCAGTGCATCGATTGAAACATCAAAAGTTGATACAATTGTTGACACTATGGAAGTTGACACGACTGCTAGTGCCACAAGTGTTGGAACTGTAGTTGACGCTACTGCAGTGACAGCAGAGGTTGATACAGATGGCGGTGCAACTTCTGATACGAAAATATATGACACCACAACTATTGCCTCTGCAAAAGCCACCACGACGATTGGTACCACAACAGTTAACATTACTACCGTTGATACGACAGCGCTTGATACAACGACGGCCGGTACCACGCCAGTTCATGTCGCAACCACCCGTACCACGACTACTACTGCGCCGGAGGTTAATGTGGCAATCACAGGCACTAAGGACGTCGATACAGCAATAGTTAGTACGGTTCCTATTAATAACATTGGTACGAGGACCACTGATACAGTTGACAATACTACTGATGCCACAGGTGATAAAAGCACGACCTCTGATCTTACCCGTATAACTGTTGGCACTGGTAATTATGGAGCCACTGTTGAGATAAGCACTGCTGTTACTACGATAACGAGGAATCCCGTAACAGATGCTGGTTTAAGTGATCCTGGCACCGCTGCGGATACAGAGACTGAAAACCAAATAGAAACCTCTACTGCTGTGCATTTAGAGAGTGCGAGTACAGGAGATACTACGATAGATGGTATTGTAGGGGATACTACAGTATATGGAATAGATGGTATTATAGGGGCTACCATAACAGATGGTACTACCTTTACTGAAGCTGGAAACGTTGATGTTTACACCACCACAGAAAGCGCTGAAGAGACTTACACGAACACCATCGATGCTGTAGATGTCACCACAACAAATAGTGACAATTCTACAGCTAACTCAATGCCAGTTGGTGGCACAGTGCTCAAGAATAACCGTAGCTCAAAAGATCTCGACATCGACTCTACGACTGCTAATATCACTGATGTTATCAAATTCCGCGGGACCCACACCAACCTTACGTCATCTGACATCGAAAACGTGTTCACAGCCGACGTCGAATCCAACGTAACCGAAGAAAGCACACACGCCGAAGCTCCAGTGTTTGATACGACTCCTGCCGGTAACACGACGCGGCGGCAGTCAGTATTGGACCATTCAACAGGTTTCACAGTTCCTGCAACCGCCGTGGTTACTGAGGCGTCCGTTGAAACCAATGTGGTGGAGCCTGAAACAGCCAACCGAATCGAAATGAACTCAAGTGCCGAGACAACAACTCAAAGCACAACTGTTGGCAACATATCTGCTGAAAACACAACTTTTGACAACACCTTTTTTAGGAACGAGAATGGCGAAGCGAGAGAAAATCATGTTGGGAATAACAGAAATAACAATATGACAGATTCCAAAGAAAAAGACGTTGGTAGGACACTTCTTAATAACACAGTTGGAGAATCCACAAGCAATTACAGTACAACTCTCGATGCTGTGACTAACTTTACTGCTAACACAACTGCCATCTCAGATGATAACACAAATGAATTAGAAGATGGCCACACAAATATTGACAACACATTCGACACAGTAGCAGCTGGAAACACAACCGATAATGCAGAAATTTCCACCACAACTGACGTCGATCTTGAGAACATATTTTTTGACAATACAGTTGACAGCACAACTGACATTTACTTTGCAGTAAATGACACAACAATTGACAACACATATGTCAACGCAATTGACAACGTAGCCAACTTTACAGCTCTTGACAACAGAACTGACATCGTAGCTGACAACACAAATAACGCAGCAAGTGGCATCGGTGTTGTTGACAACATAACTGATATTGGAGAATCTGAAAACACAGATGAAATTGCAGAAATTGACAACATAACTAACATTGCAATAACTGACAAGAGAACTGACACTTCAGAAACTGACATTGTAGAAACTGACAAGAGAACTGACATTGCAATAACTGACATCGCAGAAACTGATAACTCAACTGATATTGCAATAACTGACGACAAAACTGACATTGCAATCACTGACAACACAACTGACATTGCAATCACTGACAACTCAACTGACATTGAAGAAGCTGATAACACAACTGATATTGCAATAACTGACAACACAGCTGACATTGCAATAACTGACAACTCAGCTGACATTGCAATCACTGACAACTCACTGACATTGCAATACTGACAACTCAACTGACATTGCAGAAGCTGACAACCAACTGACATTGCAATAACTGACAACTCAACTGACATTGACAATGACATTGCAATAACTGACAACTCAACTGACATTGCAATAATTGACGATACAACTGACATTGCAGAAGCTGACAACTCAACTGACATTGCAATAACTGATGACACAATTGACATTTGCAACTATTGACACAAAACTGACATTGCAATAACTAACACAACTGACATTGCAGAAGCTGACAACTCAACTGACATTGCAATAACTACAAATGACATTGCAATAACTGACAACTCAACTGACATTGCAATAACTAACACAAATGACATTGCAATAAACTGACAACTCAACTGACATTGCAATAATTGACAATACAACTGACATTGCAGAAGCTGACAACTCAACTGACATTGCAATAACTGATGACACAATTGACATTGCAGAAGCTGATAACACAACTGACATTGCAAAACTGACACTCAACTGATATTGCAAAAACTGACAACTCAACTGACATTGCAGAAGCTGACAACACAACTGACAACTCAACTGACATTGCAGAAGCTGACAACTCACAACGACATTGCAGAAGTGACAACTCAACTGAATTTGGCACATAACTGACAACTCAACTGACATTGCAGAAGCTGACAACACAACTGACATTGCAATAAATAACAACCACACTAACATTGCAATAAACTGACCACACTCTAACTGTATTTGCAGAAGCTGACAACACAACTGAACATTGCAATAAAACAACTCAACTGACATTGCAGAAGCTGAAGACAGATAACTGACAACACACGCTGACATCTGCAATATAACTCTTGACAACTCAACTGAACATTGCAGAAGCTGACAACAACAACTGACACTTGCATATAACTGACAATTGCTGAACTACACACAAACTGACATTGAAATAACACAACTACACTGACATGCATAACTGACAACTCAACTGACATAGCTGACAACACATACTGACATTGCAATAACAACCTGACATTTGACATTGCAATTCTATGAATTGACCACAAACACAACTGACAACTTTTGCAATTGGCTCAATGAATTGCAATAACTGACAACTCAACTGACATTGCAATAACTAACACAACTGACATTGCAATAACTGACAACTCAACTGACATTGCAGAAGTTCTGACAACTACAACTGACATTGGCAATAATCTGACAAATGTTTTTCTATTGGACATTTGGCAGAAGTCGACACACAACTGACATTGCAATAATTGTCAACTTTTATCTATCTTGACATTGTACAACTATACATCGATTACTGACATGCAATTACCTGACAACTTTCACTGAAATTGGCAGACAGCTGACAACCAACTGACATTTGCAATAACGGACAACTCAAACTGACATTGCAAATCAATTTAACATTTCCACTATTGACTTTGCTAATTAATAACTACATACGACATTGTCAATTTATTACCTGACTAACTTACTGACATTGCAGAAGCTGCAAACAACTGAACATTGCAATTAACTGCACTCAACTGACATTTGCGACGCTGGAAACACAACTGACATTGCAACATACTGACAAATAATCGATCATTGTCAATAGTGACAACACACCCACAACTGGCAATATTACTGATCCAACCTCATGACTTTGCGCAACAACTGTACACCGATGACATTGCAATAACTGACATTAGCATGCTAATAACACACTTCGACATTTTAACACACAAACGACATTGCATAACTGACAACCAATCTGACATTGGGCAGCTGATCAACACAACTGACATTGCATAACTGTACTCAACTGACATTGCATATCCTGACAACTCAACTGATATTGCAACTGAATACTCACTGATTGCAGAAGCTGACACACCACTGACATTGCAAACTGACAACTCAACTGGCAATAAGTACAACACAACTGCCATTGCAAAAACTGATGCAACTGACACTGACACAATCCACTGACATTGCAATAACTGACTACACTTGCAATTAACTGCCACTTTACTGATTTGCTGACAACTGACAACTGCTAATTGACTGACTGACAAACTGACATTGCAAAAACTGATAACACAACTGACACTGCAGAGACTGACAACACAACTGACATTGCAATAACTGACAACACAACTGACACTGCAATAATTGACAAGACAACTGACATTGCAGAAACTGACAACACAACTGACATTATAGAAATTGACAACACAACTAGTATTGTAGCAGCTGACAACATAACTCTCAATGATAACATTGACATCATAGGTATCAAAAACACAACTGTTACTCCTACAGTTGACTTCAACAGTACAGCTGACAGAAATATTGTCAACAAAACTAGCTTTACAAATCCTGATGAAGCATTCAAAAATACCAGAAATGCCATTGGTGTCAGTGACAACGTAACTGCTAGTACCATCAACAACTCCCTTCCAACATCCACGCCTTTTATCAGAACAACAATCAGTGCATTAGCCTTCAATAGTCCAACGATCGGGACTACAATAGTTAATAGTAAAGCTAGTGAAACCACGAAAGCTAGTAGTACCACCACTGAAACCACGCCAGTTACTAGTACCACCATTAAGACCAAGACCCTAAGTACAACCACTGAAACCACAGTAGCTAGCACCACCATCCAGCTACCAGTTTTTGAGGGCGGTATCAGCTCTGGTACCACGGACTCATCAACACCTGGCTCTTCTACTTTGGAATCCGTTAATTTGGAAATTGACGAATCGCCGAATCGGAGAACAACTGAGAAGAGTGCAGCCGGTTAGTAAATTATGAAGTTCATTGATTGATTGTGTGTGCGTGTGTCAGAGAGAGAGAGAGAGAGAGAGAGAGAGAGAGAGAGAGAGAGAGAGAGAAGAGGAGAGAGAGAGAGAGAGAGAGAGGGGGGAGGGAGAGGAGAGAGAGGGGAGAGAGAGATAGAGAGATAGATAGAATAGAGAGAGAGAGGTCATATACCAATGAGATTAATTATCTATTTATCATCAGACTACTTACAACCACCTCATGAAAAATAATAAAGAAGTGATAAAATAAGTAGAATTCCGCTTATGAATTCAGTATCTTATGATCTTGGCTTCAAGGGACTCAGAAAGTTTTTTTTTTTTTCTGATTAACACAAGTAACAACATTATTATTGTTTATGTAATGCGATATACGAGACAGGGTCTGGGTAAGGAGTGAAATTCAGGACCCTATCGCAGCTGCAGGAACAGAACTCTTGACCGTGTCACGCATCTCAAAAAGTCTCACAGTTAAGATGCGACAAATGGCTAACGCGCTGTGGGAATGTCGTACTTTATGACTGTTCTAGTTTCAGAAAATAGACTTCGACCAACCAGTCAATCTTCAAGTTCTTCCTCCTTTTCTTACACCTGTTGGAATGTCGTGTTCGTAAAGTTTTTTTCTCGTGTTTAAGGGCGTACGGCAAGGTCGGTTTGCGTAGGTATATACTTACTGCGCAATAACTTAGGTATATAGCTATTGCTCAGTGATGCAGGTATATACTTACTGCTCAGTGGCGGCAACACAAGCTATTCAAAATCCTGATATATTTACTGAAAGAACTTAGCCGGCACATACGCTAGAGTTACCTTTAGACTACCATAGGTTTTGTTTGTTCGTTTTAGTGTAAGTTGTTTCACAGCGCAACTTGACATGCTATTCGTTCTCGGGGGCGAAACACCTGGATTGCAGAAACAGATTCTTCAACTCTTCAGGCTGTTGATTTTTGCATATTGCTTCATGATGTCGGAATAGGTCACTAAAACCTTGTACAGCGGACGAGTGCAGGACCACGTGCAACAGAGCACCCAAGACCCGCGTAAAGGAAGGGACGCTCACGCCATTTTTAAAAGGTTCAGGAGACGCGATGCAAGCTGTTCAGCATCTTGTCTGTCAATCATAAACGTCCCTTGACCTTAGACTCGGAACAGAATGTGCGTCCCTTCTTGTGCTGAACGCCTAAACGAATGTACGTTCGTGACATTTAAAAAAATGTATAGTATCGTATCCTAAGTAAATAGTACCAAAGTTGAGCCTTACTCGAGAGAAGAGTCGAGACACTAAAAGATAATTAGAGGACACAAGCATGACGTAAACAATGCACTGAATCAACACTATATTAATAATAATGATGAAAGATAAGTACATTCTTTTAATAAAACTCGCTGAGCTTCCCTTTTCATGCCATCAATATTATCGACTCGGCCGCCCACCCCTTCTCAGAGGAGCGTAGACACATGGAAATAGTGATATCCAACACAAATGGATCTTCCCGACTTGCTGCGAGCGTCCCTTCTACACTCCAAGCCTCTGTGCTTATGTGAGCATTGATAGCCCTTGCGTTCTCGGTCTGCCTTTAGGAGGACAAATAAATGAGAGTATTTACTCACTAGAAGAATATCCACGTGACTGTAAAAGGGACCCTGAGTAAACGAAACATGAGGTAAGAATAAGATGCAAACATGGAAACGGACGGAGCAGGTGGCCGATTACCGTTCACTGATGTTATAGATACAATCATTATGGAACATGTATCTCTAAGAGAACGATGAAATGCAGACTATGCATCCATGGAACGGCTAGCCACAGCATTCTTCTGAGAATCAGCTGCTAATCCAGTACACTCCAATTTTTCTTCCTACTATAACGTCTATTGAAGAGGATGGATACCTTGGCTAAGCAGATCAATAACAACACGACCCTGTAATTATTGTGGGACCCTTTTCAACCTTTTTCAATCCTTCCATGAACACAAACACAGACACGGTAAAATCAAAATGGATAACCCTCTTCGATTTTACAGTCTGAAACACCATGGACCAATGTTTAAAAATTTAGCAAGCACTTACTCAAATGACTGTGACCTTATGCCCGTTTCCTTGACTATTTACCGATAGTGATGCCAACTGTTTGACCAATAAAAACATGAGAATCTGATTCCTTATATTTAGAGCCAAACTATTTCTTGCAGTAGTTATATGGTAGTTGTAACACCCTAGTATAATCCCCTGATGTTCTCCGCAGTTGCTGAATTACTTATAGATAGACATGGATATAAATATAAATAGGCACTTACATTTATACTTATAATCATATCTAAGCACGTATCCCATTTTTTCCAGAGAACAACTTCGCTCGAAAAGGATTCTGTTGCTTAGCTCCTCTCTCCTGCAGACCACCAAACGTCTGTCTCAACTGTATTTGCAGAGCAGGGTACGTGATGCTTTTTCTTCTTTTTTTTCCTTTTTTAATGATTGCTTTCATCCCTTCCCCCTATTTAATTGTATCTATACTTCCTTTCGCTTTTGTGCCCTTAATTTCCTACTTTACTGCAGTTTTTCTTGTGACTCTTTAGTTTTATCTTATTATTTTGAAGTACTCCATTCTCCTTTTTCATCCTTCTATTTTTTCTCTCTCATACCCCACTTCGCTTCTCCTAAACGTTACAGATCAGCCAATCCAAGCCCTAGACTTGCATCTATTCAATATTTCATCGTTTTAAGTAATATATGTGCCCATTTACCTTTCGAAGAACCAGTCATTAAAGTTATGCAGTGATATTTCCAGTTTCATTACTGACAGTAATACACGTCAATATCTTTCCAATCTACTGGTGCCAACTTTCAGTGACATCGGATATGCATACATAAACTACACATGGGATTCTTGTACGTGAGACTCCCACGTATACAAAACATCAGCAACAAAAGGGCAGTTTATGCCTCTTATCCATATTCAACATATAATCCAAGAAATGACGATAAGTAGGTTTCACAGCTCAAGTTCTCCCAGCGACGAGCAAAACACCATAAAAAAAAATATTAATAAATAAATAAACCCGTGATCCGTTAGCTTCAGAATTATTTTCCCCGAAATGCTGATAAAATGAAAATCCACAGCAGAGTACATCCCTCTCCGAAGTGCATTATTCTGCAAAAAGAACCTCTTTTATCTCTCAGAAAAAGATGAGGCATTTCGCGTAAGGCATGTTTGTACGTTCGAGAGACTGAAGCTCTGTAGCCCTCCATTTCCTGGCTTGATTAGCCCCCAGCAGTCTGAGGACATCACATGCGCTTTCCCAGGAACAGAATGTGACATCACCATCATGGGCGAACAGGCACCCGTCAGGATGAACAGTGAACAGTCCAAGATGAAAGGTTGATTCAGCCAAATGTCCTGCCCCAGTGGAATAGTGATAAAGAATTATGCTTTGCTATGAAAATGAAAATTGGGAAGTCAGTTACCAGGAAAGGATATTAAGAATATAGTTTGAGGAGGTCCAAAACTGTCTTTTAGAGACTCAAAAAAAGAATCTCTCTCTCTCTCTCTCTCTCTCTCCTAGTTATTCGTTTGCAATCCCCACCGTGCTAACCACACCAATGCAAAAAATATATAACTAAATTGGTTAAACAGTAACCAAACATAACTGACATGCTTAACTTCTCTTCCTCAGCCCAACCTCCTCTCCTCCCCATTCTCTCTCTCTCTCTCTCTCTCTCTCCCTCTCTCCCCCTCTCTCTCTCTTTCTCCCTCTCTCCCTCCCTCCCTCTCTCTCCCTCTTTCCCTCTCTTCCTCCCTCCCTCCCTCCCCCCTCTCTCTCTCTCTCTCTCTCTCTCTCCCTCTCTCTCTCTCTCTCTCCCTCCCTCCCTCCCTCCCTCCCTTCATCCCTCTCTCTCTCTCCCCCTCCCTAGTTATTCGTATGCAATCCCCACCATGCAAACCACACCAACTGACATGCTTAACTTCTCCTCCTCAGCCCAACGTCCTCTCCTCCCCCTTCTCTGGTCGTCCCAACGAAGGAAGACGACTCCCCGACCTGCACGACAACAGCAGCAGGGCCCACGGGACGCGCGGGACCCCTGGGCCAAGTGCGGGGCGACCTCACGTGCACGAACAGCACGTGCATCTGCCCCGAGTACGTGGCCGGTGCTTTCGCCGTGAGACTGTGCCTGTTTCGTTCTCGTTCTGTTTTTCTCTTCTTTCTTCCTCCACACACACACACACACACACAAACACACACACACACACACACAGATATATATATAATATATATATATATATATATATATATATATATTATATATATATATATTATATATATATATATATATATATATATATATATATTATATATATATATATATATATTATGTATGTGTGTGTGTGTGTGCGTGGTTGTGCGTACGTGCGTGCCTTGTTGTAACTGAAAATATGATGATTTGAATATCATTGTATATATGTAATTATAATAATATTATCACTTGATCTTTACGATATATATTTTAGGATCATAATGGAAACGGTTATCGTTATGATAATAATAACATTAACAGTATCAAGCTTACTAACATTGTTCAGATTATTATAGCATATTGAATAGATATTAAATATTGCAGTAATCCATATAATTCTGTCATAATCTAATAATATAAATCTCTTTTTTATTACGCAATTTGCTGTGTTGCAGTAATCCATATAATTCTGTCATAATCTGTTATGTATCTTATTGTTATTGCGCAATCTACTGCGTGGATTTTGCACAAGAAACAATATATAGTCAGATCTAGCAAACTATTCGTAAATTATAATGCTTAGTCAGATCTTCACCAAGACCTGCTTATGAAACGACTACTTTACCTTGGACAAGAAAGACCCATCAAGATCCTACCTTGCATGCAACACTGCAACCTCTTAACTCTCTCCTTTCCCCTTCCTCAGGTCCGACTGCACCTACAGTGAAACCGGCAACAGGTGTGACTGCGAATTCTTCAACTTCACTTTGCTACTGCTGTATGGCTTGGCTGTATTTCTGGTCCTGCTGCTGATCGTCTTGATAAGACTTCTCGTAAGGTGTGTTGGTTGATAGTTTTGAATTATTGTCTAGCAAGAAGAAGGGGAAAGTGTATGTCAGATATGTGTGTTAAAAGGTCAACCATTACTTTCTATCAGATCCCAAAATCTTTGTACACAATTACAGTATACAGTGAATATATGTATGTATTTTTCCCCTTTTTTCACAATCATCTTAATTCTATATGTCCCTTGTTGTATAAAATAAATATATTGTCCCCTTTTTTCATATTTATCTTTATTTTTCTCTTTCTTGTTGTATAAAATAAGCTATTCTTAATGTTGGAGTTATAGCATGATCTTGATAGTTATACCGTGACAAGTCTTTTCCTTCCTTTTTTCATTCTTTCGTCCAAATATGATTCACAAAACACCAGGTGACATGAAAAAGTCATTTCAACGCCGGCACGTATAACTTCTTACTCCTATTCGTGACATGTAACTTTCCACCAATCAGTAAAGGCGCAAACACGAAACTTTATTCATTCTGCAAAGTTGTTATTATAGATACTGCTCCAGAACAACCGTGGTGACCTCGCCAGCAGAATCTTACTCAACCAAGAATCAGGCCACAACACAACGCAATCACGTGACTCGTCCTTCAACAGCAAGTCAAGGCAACCAGTCATATGGGTAAGAAAGTGGGTGAAAAGGGAGGGAGGGAGAGAGACGAGAGGGAGAGAGACAGGAGAGGAGAGGGAGAGGGAGAGAGGGACGAGGGAGAGGGAGAGGGAGGAGGAGAGAGGGAGAGGAGAGAGGAGAGAGGAGAGAGAGAGAGAGAAAGAGAGAGAGAGAGAGGAGAGAGAGAGAGGGAGAGAGGAGAGAGAGAGAGAGAGAGAGAGACGAGAGAAGAGAAGAAGAGAGAGAGAACGAGAGGGAGGGGGAGAGGGAGAGAGAGAGGAGAGGGAGAAGAGAGAGAGATAAAGAGAGCGAGAGAGAGATAAGAGAGAGAGAGATAAAGGAAGAGAGAGAAGAGAGAGAGGAGAGAGAGGAGAGAGAGAGAGAGAAGAGAAGGAGAGAGGAGAGAATGGGAGAGAGAGAGAGAGAGAAAGGAGAAGATCGGGGGAGGGAATGAGGAGAAGGATAAAGAGAGAATAAAGAGAGGGAGAGATTAAAAGAGAAGAGAGAGATAAAGAGAGAGAGGAGATAAAGAGAGAGAGAGATGATAAAGAGAGCAGAAGAAAAGAGAGAGAGGAGATAAGAGAGAGAGAGAATAAAGAGAAGAGAGAGATAAAGAAGAAGAGAGAGAGATAAAAAAGAGAGAGAGATAAGACGAGAAGAGAGAGAGAGAGAGAGAGAGAGAGAGAGACGAGAGAGAGAGAGAGAGAGAGGAGGGAGAAGAGAGAGAGAGAAGAGAAGAGAGAAAGGGAGGGAGAGAGAGATAAAGAGAAGAGATAAAGAGAGAGATAGAGAGAGAGAGAGATAAGAGAGAGACGAGAGAGAGAGAGAGAGAGAGAGAGAGAGAGAGAAGAGAGAGAGAGAAGAGCAGAGAGAGAGAGAGAGAAGAGAGATAGAGAGAGAGAAAGAGAGAGAGAGAAGAGAGAGAGAGAGAGAGAGAGAGAGAGAGGAGAGAGGAGAGAGAGAGAGAGAGAAGAGAGAGAGAAAGAGGAGAGAGAAGAATAAAAGAGAGAGAGAGAGATAAAGAGAAGAGAGAAGAGAGAGAGAGATAAAAGAGAGAGAGAGAGAAAGAGGAGAGAGAGAGATAAGAAGAGAGGAGAAGATAAAAGAGAGAGAGAGAGAGAGAGAGAGAGAAGAGAGAAAGAGAGAAGAGAGGAGAGAGAGAGAGAGAGAGAGAGAGGAGAGAGAGAGAGAAGAGAGAGAGAGAGAGAGAGAGAGAGAGAGAAGAGAGAGAGAGAGAGAGAGAGAGAGAGAGAAGAGAGAGAGAGAGAGAGAGAGAGAGAGAGAGAGAGAGAGAGAGAGAGAGAGAGAGAGAGAGAGAGAGAGAGAGAGAGAGAGACAGAGAGACAGAGAGAGAGACAGAGACAGACAGACAGAGACAGAGAGAAATGAGAGAAAGTATATATATCTTAACACACAATACTTGCCACATTTTTTTCTGCCGATCTCGCCCAATTGCAATAAATCAGCAAACCTTCCCTAAAACCGGTCGTCTCTTCCAGCCCCCAAACCGAGATCCCAGGCCAAATAGCCATCACAGCCGAGGAACTTCCCTCCCCCGACTTCTACTACCCTCCTTCCCACGTGAATCGCCGCGCCTCCCTCCCGAAACTGGTCTCGTCCTTGGAGCCGCAAGCACCTGAAGAAGTCACGAGTCCCACAAGCCCCATGCGCCCTTCAACGGCAGGTCCTCGCAGTGTCTCCTTGGCGCCGCCCATGTTCCCGGGAGACTACAGATTCAGCCCTGTGGAAACCGTGCCTCGGAGACCCCACGTGCTGCCGCCGCTAAGGACTTCCACTCGGCCGCCCAAGCTGTCAGACATTCCTTGAAGGTATGTGGTCTAGATCCTTGAAGATTGTGCATTGGTGTTGTCAGTATTTAGTACTCGGTTGTCAGCCTGCATCTGCCTTCTTTAATTGAATGTGGGACTCTACATTCACTGTCTACATTAACTCAACATTCAATTTTGATTTATCCCATTTTCTTTTCCAATATGTATCTTACAAAGACTCTCTAACTGTATTTTCTTTTGCTCTGGTATTTTATTTTCTGCATTCTACTGTTTACTATTATATCTACTCGCTTTTTTCCTGTCATTAACCAGTAAACCGAATTCTAACTTGTGCATGATGTAGTCGTTCCATTTGCTCCACACGATATGGCACAAGATCGTGACCGTAGACTGAGACGTTGTTCATGTTCGTTCCTTCTTTATAAAGTTAAGGACATTCTTCGCTTAGTTCCATATATCCCTTTCCGATTTTGTAGCGACTTCTAGTTAGATCGCCGACAACCACGTGACTGAACGGCAACATGGCCGATAAACATTATTCCAAATCGAAATATCATCAAATAAGCACAAATGACTTTAAAAGAGGCAATTTTCATCTCGCAGTAAGGGAAGGTATTTTGTCAATATGTAATTAAGGACATTTATTCAAAGATTTAAATTGAATTAAATATATTCAGTCAGCCGGAACAAATTATAGCATAGAGATTGTGAGCAACAGTCTTCAAAAAGTCCTCGTAGTTGATAATGAGATTTCGTCTATCGTTCCCTAGCTTATACTTGTTCCACTCCCACATCGACCCAATCGTATGCTTCCAGGCCGATTATTTATTTATTTATTTATTATTATTATTTTTTTGACATTTCTGACGAGTTGCTTGTCGATCTCTTTTCGAAAGGGCAACGTCGAGAGGGTAGCCACACGTGCACTTATGAACGATAATGCTTCCTTAGAATCCTCTGCTCTTTACTTGATGTTCTATACATTCTTCAGTGCTTTGCGGTGGATGGCAGTGACTGTGGATTTCTCCTCAAGCACATATCCACATCTTCCCCTCCTTATGCATCAGAAGGGGGTCACGGTATCCCTTTGTTTATCAACTTTATAAGCATAATCATCCACCATTGTTTCCGTCTTCCTCTCGATATTCGTTATGAATTCCAGTGTTACATTCGTAGGTATGGAAGTGACGCTTTTTGTTTTGAAGTAGAAAACAGGTACAGTGTACATCATTGCCAAAAAAAAAGCATTTTGCATGACTTGGTTGCATTTCATTTCATGGAAATTGAAATAACACTATGTTTATAGTATGTTATATTTCTTGAGAATGAAATACGGTACTGTTAATCATCAAATCATCAACACTTCATCAGCTGGGCCTTTGTAAAATAGAAAAAAACATTCGAGCTCTTGCGATCGTTTCCGTATTTTCTGTTCTCAGTAGTTTCCAAAATAGCCAATCGCCCAGATCTACAATCACTTTAGAAAATACAATCCTGCCTATGTGTTAAGCCTCGCTCACAACCGGCCGTACTTCCACTCTACGATATTTCAACGGAAAAAAAAAACAAAAAAAATCAAGGAACTCACGGACGTAGGTTCTTGCGAAATTTTGATTCCCGCAGACGCATAAGCACGTACGATGGTTTTTGATCTTGCACAAAAAAACTCTACAACTTCCAGAAAGGAGCCATGGCCGTGCCTTGCTCCGACGCAAGGACACGTCCATTTGTTGTTTTTTTGTTTTTCGTAAAATAAAACCGTTGTTCAAGTCGCCGTCGCGAGTGGACTAAGACGGGTCCCACAACGTACAAAAAAACAACCCGCAGCTGAGTAAGAAAGGTGACCACCCGCGCGTTCACTCTTCACTCAAAAGAGCACATTTCTCTCATAACTACTCATGAAGGAAGCACATTCTCTCTCCTCACACACGAAGGGAACACACGTCTCTCCCTCACTCACGAAGGAACACACATGTCTCTTCTCACTCATGAAAGGAAACACGTGTCTCTCCCTCACTCATGAAAGGAAGTGCATGTCTCTCGCTCATGAAAGAAACTTTGATGTCTCTCCCTCACTCTTAAAAGAAAACACGTCTCCCTCTCCCTCATCGAAAGGGATATACATCTCCCTCACTCATGAAAGGAATACATCTCTCCCTCACTTATGAAAGTAATACGCATACTTACCTCTTACACTCACACTTTCTTTAGCCCCCCCCCCCTCCCACACACAAAGACTCGGATCTGAAGTCTGGCACATGGCTCCCATAGGCCTACCCCATTGCCAGAGGGACTGAAGAAATGGAGTGCTGAGGAACATATGAATGGCTCTTTTGGGATAGGAGATGAAGGTTGAAGAGCCGGTTTTGGTTTATAATCAGGGTCATTGTAATTGTTATTATTGTTTTTATCATTATTATTATGATGATGGTGAAGCACATTCTGTCTTTATATGCGTTCATTTAACACCTAAAATCGACAAAGGACGGACGGCAATTGCGTCCAAGCGAGCGTTGACATTGCGAGGGATGTAAGAGTAACGCATGTGCACCGCATTTTCACCGTGCAGTCCTTTCTGCTCATATATCGTAAGTGTGTCTGTCGTGCAGCTGCCGCAAGACTGCCGTTCTTCCTCCTTACTACCACTACGAGGTATGAACGTACCAAAACGCGAGTGTTGATGCGAGCTTCTTACGTCACTCTCAAGGGCAGCCCGTCACGATTACGTCGCTTTTACTCCTGCCTTACGAATTTACCGCTACATTTTTTGCCTCCACTTCCTCTACGACTCTCACCTTAGGCAATAAAACGCAGTCGCACGATTAAAAAATCCGTGCGTGCGGTTGTGACTGAGGCTTTACATCAATAGCGACTCGCTTTGGCCTTTCCTTCTCTTTTACCCTCTAGTACACGGAGACAATTCTTTCTCACTCTGGTTAGAGCATCTACCTTGTTTTCTCAGAGTACATGTACTAATTTCAGCAATAAACCACTCATCTCTCGACTCGGAGTTTCCAAACAATGCTTCACAACCTTTATTTGCCGTCACCTCAGGACGTCTTAGTTTCAGATGCCCTTTGCAATTCGTTCTTCTAACCTCACTGCCATGGTGTAATTCAGCCTTCATCGTGGCAACTGTATACGGTACCTCCACAAACTCCACTTTCCCTGTTCCAAACTTCACTTTACCCACTTAGCTGATCACATCCATTCCTATTACCTCTTTGATACCATCTTTCAATTATATCTTCCAACTTTCTGATCTTGTGATTTCAGAGGCTCTGATTTGCACTCACAAGTGACGCTCACACTTTCTTCTAATGACTGCCACGCGGATCTCCCTCATATATTCAACATCATGTAGATTGATAACACTAGTCAAACAATCAGAAAAGCCACTAGTGCCTTTGTCCTTATTTCCTCTACTAGTACTTGCCACAACTGGCAGGGAACTCAAATTGTCCTGAGGCCCATCCATCCACAGCTCCTGCTGATCCTCCTGCAGCAACCAAAGTAGCTACTTCCTTCTCTCCTTGCAGACAGAATTCTGATTCTATCAAGTAAATTATTCACACCTATTAATTCAACGTCCTATATCTACTGTAACAACATCGACATCCTATCTGGAAAGCCGGTTATAATCGCTAGTTTTATAGCTCTCTCTCAACCTTCACTGCATCCACCTAATTCCACTAACCTCATTTCACTAGCAAATACATCCACCGCATGCTCTTCGGCCTTCCATATGCGTCGAACATCCTTTGTGCAGACGCCTCTTTCAATTTACTCCTATCTTCCCAGCCTCCTCTTGATGATCCCCTTGCTCATATCAAAGCCGTGCGAGTGCAAGCGTCAAGAACGAGATGAGCTTTAGACTCGTGACGCTTCACTGATTCATTCGCTCCTCTGGCTAAATGACACAAATAACAGACTCCTCTACCTCTTTTAACCAGAACCATACATGAAAAGCAGCCACAACCTAACTTTGAGAATCTCATCTACCGAAACAAACACAAATAAAGAAGAATGGTAGCTCCTTTAAACATAAGATATTTATACTTCATGTTGCCTCTTCCCTACTGTTGGCCCCCACGCGGCCACTTGACTTGTCAATCAGCGATCTCGCCGGTTAATTATTATTAATATATGTACTTCTTTTCGAAATTACCAGATACCAACAGAATAGAAAAAAACACACAGCGACACTCCTGTGGTCTAAGCGATATATTAGGAGTACATATATTCCTCTTATTCTTGGTAAGATTGTAGTTTAATCTGAAACATTTCTTTGTTTCGATATACCCATGTATGTTTTCGTTTTCACTATGTAAGGTTCTGATCATGTATAGTGAAGAACTTCTGTTCTGTTAAGAGGCAAGGGTAGTGTATCCATGATTTTTCCGCGGTTATTAATACATGTAGTCAGTCAGTAAACCTGATATTTCACCACTTCATCTTTATTGCTGCTTCTACTGTAAGATGTGTATTTAACGGCCAAGATGTGAATTTACACCGAGTGATTTTTCTTTCCTTATTTCCACACGAATCAGAGTGCCATTGCCTGGACTCCATTCATAAACTGCAGATCAATGGTTTTAGCAATACTCTTCTTGTTCCTTGTTCCCAAGGTTGATATCGGATTCACATTTTGCTTGTTGATCAGGTTGCCACACTCAAGGCTGGAGCTATCTAGCTTGTGAAATTTCGGTGAAGTGGGACCCTGCATGGTTGACTGTGGTCACCTCAGCTTAGGTCAGTCCTTCTCTCTTTAGCTCCAAATTAGTGTTGTATATTTGTATTAATATACCAGCCTGATCAATACTCTGAAGCGAGATGCTAGCTTAGTGGAAATGCTTAGCCGAAATGCATTATATGTACTTGATCAACATTCTTCTGGTCTTTACCTATGTGCTTTTTTCTATGTTATGTACCTGACTAGATTTTTAACCAATCTTTCCAGTAGACCATCTCAGGCCAGGAAATAGATTTGGCAAATTGAAAATGCTTTCTTTGTGATTTAAACTTTCCCAAAGTAGA